TATGAGTATTCATGATACACATGGGCGCACGTGAAGTGACACACTATGTTGTAGTATTCTATCATTTATTTATTATTAGTTGAGTTCAATCGTTATTGAATAGGTTGACTATAATTGTCTTATTGCATTCTAATGCAAATGTTCATATGTATGTCATCTTAATATTAATGGTGTATTTTAATAACAGATGCTTTGGTTACATACTGTTGCAGTAGTATTGAGCTATTATCCTTAAAGTGAAAGGCTTTATTATGACCGATGAATACATAGTATGATAAATGAGTTACAAAAACTGTGCACCATGTCATAATTCGTTTTTTCTTGCTTTCTTTCAATCAAATAAGCAGCTACAAACTCACACCGACGAGCTCGCTTGGCTATTTCCCAAAAATTTACTTTGGTCCTGCTTCCGCAAAGAAATAATCCAGATATAAAGTTGATAATCCAGGACTCTTTAAAAGGATGTTTCGCAAATCTATAAACATATCAGGCAATCAAATATTATATGCATGGAAATTTTGGGAGTAATTATAACAGTATTTTGGCTTGTGGATGCTGCATATATTACGACATTTAAAAAACTCGTCTATTGTCATTTGGTTTAGACTATTGTAATAATTTATTGCATTAATACATTTCAATAGAGATGTTTCTATCCAAAGATCCCAATGGCAGATTCTTTATGTTTATCCAGTAGTTTTTATGTAAACGTCAGGTGTGGTCGTCTGACATCTCGTCGGACCGATAAATTAATGAATTGTTGGAAAGCTAATTTAATGTAATAATGCATAGAAATTTCTTACAAAAAAAATCGAGTGAGAATAATAAAACTATTGGAGGCCAAAAATGGGTAGTAGTATAAAGTTACCCACAAAACAAAATTTGTCATCTAATATTAGAAAGACATTACATAAATTTTCTAAATCTCGTTCTCACTTTGAGTTAAAGCCAACGCTTGGCCAATGCTAGCATTGGCTGGTACCCTGCCTACAACTAATTGAATTCGCACATCTTTTATAATTGCATATTCAGGCTCGCCGAATACGTTATCTTGCGTGCGCATCTGCGTAAAAGTATGCACAATAGATCGACTTCTGATCGTACCAAAATATCCGCTGAAATATCCGCAGAGTGGACACGAGCCGTTTCGGTGGGGTTCGACTTGAGTACGATTCGGTGTATTCAACTGTCCATTTATGAAAACGCCAACACCCGGAACTGGTCCGTAATAAGAACCTGATGTTCTACGATTCATATGGAAATTATCGTGGAGAGGCAAGGAGATATCTGGAACATGATGTTGGGCTTGCAAGTTAATAGGCATTTGATCTGGAGAATCTGTATCCGTAGACGTCGTATTGGCGTTACCGTGGAAAAGCAAAGAGAAGTCTTGACAATGAGGTTGAACTTGCAAATTAATAGGTGTTTGCCCTAGAGAATCAGTATTCGTAGAAGTCATGTTGATATTATTACGGGGAAGAAAACGGGTAGCATAGTCACGTGCATGAGGCTGGGCATGCATTTGATTAGAATTGCCGGCGACGTTATAAAGCCTGACATAATTGTTAGATTCGCTCGTCATGTCCAACTTATCGGGGAAGAGTGTAAAACGAAAAAACTGAGTTCTGACTGGCAGCAAAGTCTTCGATTTCAATGATTGCGCTTATATATAGCGAGCTATTTTACGTTATACGTTGTATATATCAATGTGAATTAGCACGGACAATGAATCATCGATCAACACTGGCACCAGGTTAAGCGGATAGCAATATTCTCACTCGAACTTGAGTCATATTTATACTATCGTCAAAATAATGTTTTACAATAAGTCAGCTATTTTTATGTATGACTAAGAATGCAAGAAACACAAGGGGTTTTATTTATTACCCGCGGACATCCAATGATAACGCTAGGTTATGTTTGAAGGCCGGTGGAAAGATAGTCCCTATTGAATATTTATATTGAAACATACCAATTATAATGTGTATAGAGTGATCATAGTGCAACATTTATTTCGAATTAGATAACTGAGTCGCGGGGGCAA